TCCAAACGAAAAGCAAATATGTGTTGTAAGAGAGGTATTTGCCTCGAAGTTTTAAAAACTTACGGCTAATACAGGTGCACGGCTAATCTAGTCGAATTAAGTCTATGGACGGAGTTATTACTCTAAAATGTCAAGAGGGGTATCATTCATGTGCGGCGCCTCTCCAACGCGGCAGAGTGTCGATCAGCCTGACAATTGGTAAATGACTCTCTTGTATCTCGGGATACGGTGTTGAAATAATGATTTTACTAGGCACTGCTGTCCACGAGCCCTACAACCATCGTGACGAAAATCATCTTAATCAACCTCTCTCGATTTCCACCAAGGACGAGATTTAACGTTCAATTATTGCCTGTTAGCGAATGAAATTAGAAACTGGAACAGGAAACGCGGTTGAAATATCAACACACCGGAGGGTGATACTTGAAAAAAGGAGAGGCGAGCGTAGATACCTAAAGCTTCCAGTCTGGACATAATTATTCCAAACTTACTCTTCGCCAAGTCCTTGAACTCATCGAGCACGCTGCATCGTTCTCGTGTATTTACGTTTCACCAATGTGAAACGCACGCGCGTTCCTTCAAGATGTTTCTCGAAAATATTATTCCGGATATATTTCAGTTCATTCATTTTGGCTGGCCGAATTTATTTTTTAATTTTCAATGTCTCTTTGCAGGCAGTCAAACAATTCTGAATGAGACGATCGTACATCACGATCGAAATGCGCGACAACAAAATGATTGCAATTTGATTTACTAAAGTACGATTAACTTTCGATTAATAACCGAGCCAGAGCAATAACGCAATTTTCTGAACGATAACATTGCTGATCTTGTGGTACGTTTATCGGCAAAGGGGAGAAAGATTAGGCTGAAGGATCATATCAGGCGTCTCAATGCAAAACTTCGATGTAATTGCAAACGTTTGCAATTTCCATCGCAAACAAACATAGACGCGCATGTCCGTAGTTCTCGTTTATTCTCTTCCTTGTCTTCTTCTTCTTCTTCTTCTTATTCTTACTTCGACTGGCTTGTTGTCGCCGACAAATGCCCACATCCTCTCGTGCAGAAAGTTAATGCGTTAAACTTCGGTTCGCAAATCCATGCTCGGCACGAACCAACCAGCCCGTTCTTATGAACGTAGGCGTTACTTGAGGCACGTGCCTCGTACTTATGTCCATCTTTCGAATATAACTTCACAGACGTTCCAGTTACTTCAATGCCAAAATGACGCAGCGTGCCTCGTTCCTTCATCGCGATTGATCGTTCGAAGAATCGAATCGAGGTAGCCATTAAGAATAAACGAGCCCGTGTTCCATACTCCAAGTGGATTATGCTAATTTGAATAGACGTGTTTGACTTGGTTATTAGCTTGGTTCATATGTTCCTGTCTATAAATCACGGGATAATCGCCAATTTGAAACATAGGTTTCAGTAAAATAGAGTAGCAATGAAATTTTCAAAATGGTAACTTTTACCTGCATTTTGTTTTGACTGATTGACGATAGTGTGAATCTCTACATGATACTGAATATTCTATAAATTGACGAATCGAAGCTCACAAACTTGTTTAACTGTAATGTATTCTGTACCGTCAGAGATAGGATATAGTAGTATACAATCAGACGTATAACAGATATTATATAACGTAGTCTCAGCGTACGTTTTCTGTTTGTTTCAGTGCACAAAAGGCTGTGGAGCGTGGCAACAAGCACTCGACGCAAGCTGTCAAACCGTCTGCGTTAGTATATATTAAAATATTACCATTTCTAATTCTAATATTAAATGTCTAAATTATTATTTCCTTTCCCTTATCAATTATACCGGAGCGCAACGTTTCAGGAAATCTAACATCAATTGTATTGTTTTTGTAGAATGGAACGCAAGAATTGCTACCACCCAAAGAGCTCTATTGTGTTTTGGGTTGTCACGATGCGTTGAATCGTTACTTTCAACAACTAAAAGGTAATACAAAACTCTGCTCGAAGACGAAGATGGACACAACAAATGCTTCTTCAAGTTGCTTCGCGTAATGTACTTCCATTGTAGCATACACTTCCCTGTATCTCCAAAGATACAGCCTCGCCGTTAAATTAACGGTGTTCCGCCGGTCGACTGAAACCATCTGTGCCCTTTTATGTCCATGGAGCCACCCTTCAAATTCCCGTACCTCCTAGTCAGATCCACTTGCAATATATTCTTCAAAATATCTTTCAACTCCTCGCCAAAATGATGAGCAAACTTGTATTTACCAGAGACGATCTTCTCGTATATTTTCATCGGGTCTCGCGAGTAAAACGGTGGGTAGCCAGCGTTCATCTCGTAAATTAAAACACCGAAGCTCCACCAATCGACAGACTTACCGTAACCTTTCGACAAGATCACTTCCGGCGCGAGATATTCGGGAGTGCCGCACAAGGTCCAGGTTCTACCGTCGATCATCTTACAGAACCCAAAATCTATCACTCTGATGTAGCCGGTGTTCTGGATTAAAATATTCTCTGGCTTCAGATCTCTATAAACGAGGCTGCAATGGTGGAGGTATTCCAACGCGAGAGCAACCTGGGCCGCGTAGAATCGCGCCAGTGACTCGTCAAATTTCCCCATTCGTCTCAGATGCGTGAACATTTCGCCACCGTTGATATACGGCAACACCATGTACACGTACGAATTGTCTTTGAAACAGTATTCCATGTAGATGATAAAGGGGAACCTCACGCACTGTAATATCCTCTTCTCGTTGTACGTATGATCTATTTGCTTCATCTTTACGATCTTCGCTTTATCCAGGATCTTCATGGCGTAAAACGCGGCCGTTGGTTTATATTTGACGAGTATGACACGACCGAACGCGCCGGTACCGATGGTCCGGAATCGTTCGAAATCGTTGATCGTAACACTGTCGTGTCTGTCACTCTTCCATTTCTCTATGAACGTCGACTTCAGCTCGTCCAGTATCTTTCTGTATTCTGAAAACGCTCGCTGTCGTTCCTGATTCATCGCGACCTAACTTAATTAGAAGTTACTCGTTTCTCGTGTGTGACAACGTTTCGGCGCAGACAAATAATCGCGGTTATGGTAGTTTTTCGCCATACGATTGACATTAGGCGAGTATGGGAAAGCTTTCGCAACGTTGTCCCTGCGATCGGCATTTATTCGTGCAAATTTATATTTTTACGAACGTAATTAAAATTTAAAAGGGAGAATGGAATTGAAATTGTTAAGGACAAAAAATTGTTTCATCTACTATGAATTGAGAGATCTGTATTTTTGCGTATTCTGTATATTTTTCTTTCTTTCTTTTTTTTTTTTTTTTTTTTTCTTGTAATTTGTATGAAAATTCATTTGCAACGAAATGATTCTGCTCGACTGTAAGGGATCTTGTACTGACATTTATTAATATTCATCATCAGCGGAGATAGGTATTCCACCGGCACCAGCTTTGGTCGCGGACTCGTTGACCGCGACGTCTCTACGACTCGAATGGAAAGGAATAGACATCGAAAGACGCGGCGGAGGCCTATCGTACTTAGTGCAATGGAAGTACGAGGAACTGGCTGAAACCTGGCAGTACTGTAGAAATCAATCGTGGGCAGAGAACGACCAGATTTTGGTGGAGAATCTACAGCCTTACACAAAATATAGGGTAATATATTTTGTTAGTCGTACGTCGTCGTTATTTTTACTTTACGTTTAAAGAGTTCTATATAATAATAATAATCTATTTTATCGTGTCGGTTGCAGTTTCGCGTAGCATTACTGTTAAAATCGACGCAACACAATCCGGAGCTTATCGTCTCCGCTCCGAGCGTCGTGATACGAACGCTGGCGGCTGGTTTACCAACCTCGGCACCGGTAATTGTAAGAGCGGTAGCGGTAGACAGCTGCCGCGCCTCTGTGTCTTGGGAACCGGGCCCTTTCCCGAACGGGCCACTTTTGTCTTATGTCCTGCGACTGCAAGGGGCTGATCACTCCCAGCTTAAGGTACACGCCACGCCAGAATATCAATAACGATCGGCAATTTGTTCCTTCACTTGTAAATAGTTACTTCTCTAGTAACGTACAGCTACTTTCACTGTACCTTGAGACATACATCGTTCTGTACGAATGTGTTTGCCAGAGCCTCGGCTATTTTTCTCTAAGCTCTACCGTCACTGAGTTGTATCGGCACTCATCGACGTGAAGTCGATCGCGCTTTTTCTATTTTCTCCTTTCTCATCTATTTTTGTAGTTGAACAGCGCTAAACTGCTGCGAAATAGCAACTGGTTCTACAAGACTGTCTACCTCTTTCCTCAAATTAAGTACGAAAGGAACAAGCATGCTTGGGACAGATGCACGTCTCTCTTCTCTGATTTTTCACGACTGTTTGAAAAGCAATCCTGTTTGCTGGCACGAATAACGCTAATAAAATCTAGCTTTGAAATACTATACGTCACCTATTAATTAATTCATCTTTGATCCAGTTAACAACACGTGTGTGTGAGCTTGTAAGAACCAGAATCTCATGAAATACGTTTCTGGCATGGCGTTTCTTTCCTATTCGCCTATATCGATTACTTGTTTCGAAGGTTCGAAGGGGATAGATACTCTGACGGTCCAATCACGTTTACATTTTACGATCAATCTGCAGGATATACCAGCCTCGGAAAATACGGACCACTACATGTTTCAAAATCTCAAGCCGAATAAAAATTATTCCATTAGCGTGACCATGAGGAACGGAGTTGGGGAGGGACCGCCTGCAGTGACTTATGTCACGACTACTCCAGAGCCGGCTGGTACGTTTCGACGCGGTGCAGATTATAATCTTTCAACAAAGTTCTCGAAAACGATTTGTGCCGAGAAAATTGTGCGATCGTTAACGCAGATCCGTGGTATTGCAGTGAAAGACACGCAACAACCAATTTTAATTCTCGGAGGCCAGCACGTTGTCATGAAACAAGATGCGGACATGCTGGACGATCCGAGCGTGGTTTACGAAAACACAAGCACGATCCGAGGGATCGCGATTCACGTGGCTTCCGCTCAATTGTTCATTTCCGACTCCTTCGGATACGTGTATAGAACGTCCATTACAAAACGAACGAAACCAACGGTGATACTTAGTCCAAGTCAGGTGAACTTCAAGCCTCTGAGTTTGTCGGTGGATTGGCTGAACCTTCACTTGTACATTCTGGGCGAAGTGAAACACGCGACGACGGTCTGGCAGATAGCTAGATGCAATCTGGACGGAAGAGGTCTAACAGTGGCCGTGGCTGGTTTCTTAACGCGGCCCACGCACATCGAGGTAGACCCGTACAACGGTTACTTATTCTGGGTCACCAGGGGCGGTTTGTACCGATTGGATCTGGCCGACATAAGCAATGGAGTGAAGCACGAGGTACGGTTTCGAATTTAAGACGTGTATGGTATGAAAGGAACAACACTTGGTATATGCCCTATTGCTTGATTCTAATAACGGGGAAAGCACACCGCGACACATCTAAATTTACATCAAATTAAATTTACCCTCGATAATTTTAGATCAATTTTTACAGGTTCAGCCATATTTAATTCTAGAAGATGTTAACTTAGGAGCGTTCACCGTTGATCACACGAACTTTCGCCTGTTAGTTCCTCATCACATCCAGAACACCGTAATATCGGTTTCTCTGGATGGTCGCGAAGTTCTAGACCTTCGTGCCAACACGCAGCAACCGAAATTTAAAAATGTAGTTTCTTTAGCTATGGTGAATGGTTTGTTTTATTGGACGAACGGCGAAGAAGTATTGATTGAAGGATATCATTTGGGACAAAACCGATATTTTCATAATGCTTATCCCGATAGGTGGGAATGTTCATTCTTATTCGATCAGCGTGGACGTCGATAGACAGATGTTTCAACAAACCCGTCATTTTTTTTTTTTTTTTCTTTTAGATCGAACGGTTCGTTTGTCAGTGTGAATGTACTTATGGACGCGAGCCAGCCGGTTCCTGTCCCTGTGAATCCTCCTACTGGAGTGCAAGCTGTCCTTGGTATGGAGAGAGCGAAAGTTTCTTGGCAAGCGCCTCATCTATTGGGCGGTCAGGGGAAAGGTGCCTGGCAGAATTGGTCTTACGAACTGGAGATTAAAGATGAGTCTACCGGAGAGACGATCCATCAGAAAGATATTGCTGGCTCGTCTCACACTGTGCACAATCTCAAAGAGAAGTCGGAGTACTCGATTAAGGCAGCGGCTTACACGAGCGCTGGCAGAGGACCTTGGTCCACCGAATTCAGGGGTCGAACGTTGAGGTAAATTATGATTAGACTATGAATGTTTATATATTTATGAGAAATTGGAATTGGTTCTCTAGGCATTGTAATTCAACGTTTTAATTGACTTTTTAGACACGGATCACACGCATCAATTTTGTGGTCCGCAAACGAGGGTCTGCTAAAAAGCGACGTAACTGGAGAGAATATTGATACTCTGATCTACAAAGCAAGCTTGAAAGAAAGAGAAGTTGATTATCATATCGTTGACGTCAGCTGGTACAAGGATGTTCTGTACATCGTAGGAAACAATTCTGCGTTATACCGATACAATATTACGAGTCATCAAAAGACGAAAATGAATATTCACTCTGTTGGGAGTATTGCTGTCGATTGGATATCGAAAAAATTGTATTGGGCTAATCCAAAGCAACAAATTGTGAATAAATATTCTTTGTATTTTTAATCTATCCTATTCACTTCACAAAAATTTTTAACTACATTTCCCTCCTTATGTATATATATATATATATATTTTTTTTTTT